ATATTGCCTTCAGCTGTTTGAGCACAAATGCCTTGGAACTCTCTCCTAAAATCTTTCCATCTTTCTTTTCTCATTTAAGGTATTTCTTAAAACCTACGTTTACGACCAATCTTTATATTCATTTGTCTTAATATTGCATTGTATGATTTAGTATAAGATGTTACTTTGTAATCTTCTACGAAGCACCATGGGATATTTTATTTCATTAAAGGCACTATATGACTGTAAGTTGTTGCTGAAAGAGTGCATGCACTGACATCTCCTTACCTCCCCTTTTGCAGCTGCTTCTGCTGCTGCTCCTTGTCCAATTACACCTCAGTTGAGAACAAGTGAGCAAGTCCAGCAGTCCATGTTTAACAGTTCTCAGCAAGAAACTCCAAGCTCAATAGCACTCCAACTGCTTAAGATAGTGACATTTTAATAGAGGTGATAATTCCTTTCAGTGCTACTCTGGAAACTGTTTCCCAACGGATTATGAAATGATATTCTGGGTGGGGTTAAGGACGTAACATGCTAGGAATGAAATGGAGACCAATTTTAGAAAAGTGCCCAGAGACAGGGCCCTGATAGTACTATTTAAATCATGCCTGCCCTTATTGGAAATGGTCAGCGGGGAAACCTGCAGAGATCCTTTCTTAGTGCACTTCTCCATGCTCCTGCAGAATTACAGTGTTGAATTTGACTTTGTGTTTCTATAACTGAAAACATGTGCAATGCCTTTCAATTTCTATGCTAGTTTGTTTCCCAATTGAGTCATTGTGAGCTAAGTCTCCCCTATTGACATAAAAACAAACTGAACAGTAAACACTGCTTGATCCAGAGTAATTGTCCATGGAGTTCATGGAAATCAAGGGACCTTAATGAACCTCATGCAAATGCCATACGTAGAGATATTAGGTGATTTAATTATTTGCTGGATTTCTCACAATTTTGAACTTCAGTACCTGCACAAATAAAGGTAGAACGCCTACCCCAAGTTACCCTGTTCCAATGTTGCTGGCTTCACTATCACTTGGTGTCCTAACCTGTGGTCTGGCAAAACCTGTTCATGTCAACTTACTGTCAAACAATATAAATATATGAAATAGGAGTAGAAATAGACCATTCAGCCATTTAATCCATTCTGCCATTGAATAAGATTATGGCAGATATACCTCCTTGAATTCTACATTTCCATCCACTCAATAATGTTTAATTTCCTTGCCTTTCCACCACTGCCTTAAAAATATCCAATCGCAGTCCTTTTATTTGCCTTCTGAGGCAGAGAGTTCCAAAGTTACACAATCCTCTGAGAGAAAACTTGTGTCTTTATTTTTGTTCTGAAAGGGTAACTTCTAATTTTTCAACAGTGCCACATGTTCTGGACTGATCCATGTCTACCTTGTAATATCGTTCAAGATTTGATACACTTTAATCAAGTTCATGCTCATTCCAGTGGAAACAAGCCCAGCCTGTCCAATCTTTGCTAAGAAGACAACTCACTCAGTCCAAGTTTCAATCTAGTAAACCTCCTCTGAACCACTTCCACTACATTTACATCCTTCCTTAAATAAGGACGTTAAGTTCTACAACATATTTGAGATGTGGTATCACCTATGCCATTTATAATTGAGGCATAATCCTTACTTTTATGTTCAATTCCTCTCATAATAAATGTACATGCTGTACCTGCATACGAGCCAATTGTGACTCAGAGACTGGAACATCTAGATCCTTTTGCACCTCCGAATTCCTCAGTCCTTCCCCATTTATTTATTGCTGTGCTTTTTATTCTGCCATCCAAATCAAGCAACTTCTCATTTGCCCACGCTATACTATACCTGCCAGATATTTGACTACTCACTCAACATACTCTCCTACTCACCAGTGTGTGATTTGTGAATTTAGCAACATACCTTCACTCCTTTCATCTAAGTCATTGATAGAAACTGTAAAAAGTTAAGCCCGAACATAGATCTCAGTCAGACTTTGCTTGTCAAATCCTGTCAATCAGACAATTAATGCATACTCTTCGTTTACTGCTAGCTAGTCAGCCAGTCTCTATTCATGCTAATATGTTACCCATACACAATAAATTAATTTTGCACAATAACCTTTGATGTGGCACTTTATCAAATGATTTCTGGAAATCCAGGCTCCCCTTTATCCCTAACACAAGGTCTGGGACTAGATTAATTTAGGATATCTGGTTGGCATGGATGAGTTGGACGGAAGGGTCTGTTTCCATACTGTACATCTCTATGACTCTAAAACTCCAATAAATAGTTAAAAATGATTTTCCTTTCACAACACCATGTTGACTCTTCCCCAGGTACCTTGAGTTTTCCAAGTGTCCAGCTATAATCTCTTTAATGATCAGTTCTAACACATTCCCATTAAACTAACTGGCCTATAGTTTCCTGGGTTTTCTGTCTCCCTTCCTACTTGAATGGAGAGATTATATTTGCTAACTTCCAATCTGATAGAATCTTTCCAGAATGTAGGAAGTTTTGGAAAATTAATACCAACCCAACTACTAGCTCATTAGCCAGCTCTTTTAAGATAATAGAATGAAGTCCATTTGGATCTGGATATTGTCAGTCCACACCTCATTAATTTGTTCAGTACCTCTTCCCTAGTGATTGTACATTCGCCAAATTCCTCTCTTCTCTCCTCACCTGATTTATAGCTATTAGTGGAATTTTTTTGTATCCTCCATAGTGAAGACAAAATATTAATTCACTTAATCTGATACTTCCCTATTATTTACTACTAACTAGCCATGCTACATTCTAGAGAATCAACACTTACTTTTATACACAGACAAAAACAGAAATTGCTGGAAAATCTCAGCAGGTCTGACAGCATCGACAGAAAGAAATCATAGTTAACATTTCCAGTCTGGTGACTCTTCACTCGACCCAAAACAATACTCTGATTTCTCTCTACAGCTGCTGTCAGAACCACTGAGCTTTACAAGCAATTTCTGTTTCTGTTTCTGATTTACAGCATCTGTAGTTATTTCAGTTTTTACTTACTTTTATTCCTTTTGATTACCCTTTTAGTTATCCCTGAAGTTATTTATTTTCTAACCAGTCATCTGGCTTATAACTCATCTTTGCAGAGTTACATGTTTTTACCTTAAGTTTGATGCTTGCCCTAGCCTCTTAAATTAAACAGGGGTGGTGGATTTGCAAATTATGTAATTTTTCTATATAATAGGAATATAATTATTCTGCAGTATGCCCTTAACTGTCTCCCACCAGTCTCGACTGATTTATCCCCTAGCCTAGTTTGGCAGTTCATTAATAGCTCAGTTTTCATTTCCATATCATTGCGCTTATTGAAGTTTTAAATACTCGCCTTAGACTCAATTTCCTCCCTTTCAACCTTGATGTAAAATTTGATCATATTGTGATTGTTGCTTTCTAGGGGTGCTTTTACTCTGAAGTCATTAATTAATCTTTTATTAATGAATTAATTATCTACCAATATCAAGCAAGAGAGAGAACGACTACTTCAATGTAAAAAGTTTGAAAGTGAATGAACATGTTCAAGGCTATATAAATATCTTTAGCACAGACACTGAGCTTATGTTCGCTGCTGTATTAATGTTCCAGTATCAACAGCTCCTTTAACATTGGCTGTACTTTCTTTCAACAAAGCCCAGAAGGGGACTTGATAAGTTACCAGCTAACCTTTTATTAAGTAAGGAGCCATTTTATTTCCCTACTTTCATGCTTTCCTGCATTCAGGTTTCACATGAGCAAGTGCATAGGGAAATTGAATCTAAAAAAGCTGTTCAGTCCTTAAAGTTGCAGGTTGTTGTCTTGTAATCCTTGATATTGGGAATGATGCAGCAAGGTAGTGGATGTGGAGTACTGACAAGATGCCTGTAAAAAATAATAACAAAATAATGGATTCAGTACCATTCATTGATCAATGTCCAAGAATGAAACAAGAGTACATATCTATAAGTTCTTCTGCAATAGTATCATAGGATATAAATTGTCTGTAATCCACCTGTTTAGCCATATTATGACACACCTCCATGGCAAATCGGACTTGATCACAGACCTTCTTGCCCAGAGGTACAGACACTGCCACAGCACCTTTAGACCTTCCACAGGAATATTATATCTGAAAATATGAATCAGAGGCGGGTTTAGGCCACTTCAGCTTGCTCCACCATTCAATAAGATCTTGGCTAATCTATTTCTAATCTCACCTCCACATTCTCACCTACCTTCAAGAACCTTTCACCTCTTGCTCATGAAGAGTTGAAATACTTTTGCCTTAATATTCAAAGACACAACTTCCACTGCTTTTTGAGGAAGAGAACTTCAAAGACTATAAGGTTCTGTGAGAAAAAAATCCTCTCAAGTGTTCTAAATCAGCAATCCTTTATTTTTAAATGATGACCCCGAGTTCTAGATTCTTCCACAAAAGAAAACATCCTTTTTACGTCCACTTGTCAACACCCCTGCATCTTGTATGTTTCAGTTGTTATTTCTTACTCTTCCAAACTCTAGGGACACAAGCCTAGCCTGTTCAACCTTTCCTCATAAAACAATCCACCTATTCTAGTTTTTAATCTAGTAAACATTCTCTGAGCTGCTTCCAATGCATTTACATCCTTCCTTAAGGATGGAGACCAAAAATGTACTCAGGAATATGACACTTAGGAGCTGGTAAGTTAATATAGTTTCGTAACCTTCTCCCATTCCAGTAAGCTGTAGACTTTCAGCATTACGGATTTGCCAGACAAAGATTAGCAGATTTCCAAGCACATCACAACCTTACATGCTTGAGGATTGACCTGTAAACACAGCATGAATTAGAAATACAATTTTTGAGTTTCCTGGAAGTCAAGGGGACTCTGTGAACTTTATTGAAAATTTCATTACAACTTAATTGATTCCTCACAATGTTTGCAGAGAGAATTAGAGTTAAAACTTCAGGTCATCATGATGTAGGTCATCAATCTGAAACATTAACTCTGTTTCTCTTCACAGATGCTGCCTAACTTGATGGATAGTCACTTGTGTACCTGAGAAAATATACCAATAAAAAGATCCCAGATATCTCATAGTGATGTTGGATGTGATATAAACTGACCAGGATACCAGAAATCCCCTAGACTGCTTCAAGCAAAAGTAACAGTATCTTATGCTCATTGGGGAGGGCAAACAAGTCCTCAATTTAAATCTCCTTCAAAAGACAGCAGCACCTCAATACCAACTTGGAAAGTGGCTTGAACCTATGGATCACAAAACTTGGCTATCAAGCATCACTGGTTTTGCCTGTAAGGGAGCTCAGCGTGCACAAAAAAAGGGTGTGAAGTCCATCTCCATTGACTAGTGAAGGAGCGTGTGCAGTTCATCATCTTGGGAAGCATAAGGCTGCAGGATTCTGTGTATGTGTCAGAAACAACAATGGGCTGATTACATCAGCTGCAGTTTCATCTGATTTGACATGTTACTTAGACTTTGCAGATGCTGTTCATGCTCTCTCTTAAACATGCACAGCTATGGAACACCCCAACACCCCAAATATAAATTACCACAACTTCCAGGTAAGAGATAGTAAGAACTGCTGATGCTGGAGTCAGATAACGCAGTGTGGAGCTGGATGAACACAGCAGGCCTGGCAGCATCAGAGGAGCAGGAAAGCTGACGTTTCAGGTCGGGACCCTTCTTCAGAAATTTCTGAAGTTTTCCTGCTCCTCTGATGATGCCTGGCCTGCTGTGTTCCTCCAGCTGCACACTGTGTTACAACTTCCAGGTAAGCCATTTTTCACTTTCACTAACTGACGAAAGGGGGCATTACTCTGTGGTTGCAGATTGTGTTGGAATACAATTCTGCTGCTGTTGATGGCCCATAATACCTAAATAAGATCATAAGTCATAGGAACAGAAGTATGCCATTCAGTCCATCAAGCCTGCTCTAACACTCAAAAAGGTCATGGCTGATCTGATTATCCTCAAATCCACTTTCCTGCCTTTTCCTCATGACCTTTGATTCCTTTACTGATCTGTTTGTTTCAGCCTTGAAATTACTAATGATCCAACGTGTACAGTCTTCTTTCATAAAGAATTCTACAGATTCGCTACTCTCTGAAAGAAATTCCTTCTCATCTTTTAAATGTTCAATCCCTTATTTTGCGGTTATGTCCTCTTGTTGTAGACTCTCCGACAAGGGGAAACAACTTTTCTATATCTGCCCTGTCAAATCGCCTAAGAATCTTAAATGTTTCAAAAAGGTTGTGTCTGATTTTTCTCAGCACCAATGAGGACAGGCTCAACCTACTCAACCTCTCCTCATAAGACAATCCCTTCCATACCTGGTATCAGCCTAGTGAATCTTCTCTGAACTGCTTCTAGCGCTAGAATATCCTCCCTTAGATAAGGAGAACAAAACTCTTCACAGTATTCCAGCTGTGGTCTGAATAGTTTTAGCAAAATCTCCAAATTTTTACACTCCATTTTCTTTGAAATAGCATTCCATTGGCCTTCTATAATACCTACTGAATTTGTATGCTAGCTTTTTGTGGTTTATGCACGAGAAATCCTAAATCCCTCTGTGCTGTAACTTTCTGCATTTAATTGATATTCAACTCCTCTATTCTTCCTACCAAAGTGCACAGCCTCACATTTTCTTACATTATTCCTGCTGCCAAGTTTTTACCCACTCACTTAAACTGTCTGTATCCCTCTGGAGTTTTTTTTTGTGTAGTCCTCAGCACTTGCCTTCCTACATGCTTTTGTGTCATCTGCAAACTTGGTTAAAGCATATTCACTTTCCTCATCCAATTAATTAATATATTTCACGGATGCCTGCTTTTGAGTTGTTAGATATATTGAATATCTACCCATTTAGCCTGGTGATAGTGTCACATAACATGATGGAGGGCACTCTTAATGTGAAGATAGGGTCCGCGTGGACTGTTTTGGTGGTCACTCCTATTGACACTGTTATGAACAGTTGTATCTGCAGCTGGCAGATTGTTGAGGATGAGGTCAAGTGAATTTTGCCCTTTTGTTGGTTCTTCCACAGTCTAGCAACTATGTCCTTTAGGACTTGACCAGCTCAGTCCATAGTGTTGCTCCTGAGCCACTCTTGATGATGCACACCAACAGTACCTTGTGAGCCCTGGCGACCTCAGTACCTCCTCCAAATGCTGCTCAAGATCGAAGAGTACTGAGTTGTCAGTTGATGTGGGGAGCAGTACATGAGGTAATCAGCAGGAGGTTTCCATGTCCATGTTGGTTAACTAGTCCTCAGGTATTAATAAGGACAACTTTGCAGAGTCAACAGGTCTGTATTTGCTATTGTTGTTTCCGCGACATAGTTTAACACCAAGTGGTCAATCCAGTTTCATTCGTTTCCTGAGACTTTGTAGCAGTTTGATAGAACTGAATGGTTTGTTAGGCCATTTCAGAGGGCACATGAGAGTCAACCACATTGCTGTGGATCTGGAATCACATGTAAGCCATGACTATGGGTAAAGAGGCAATATATATTATTTTGCATATTGCGCTTTTCATATTCTCCTACATGACATTAGTGTCACCGGTAAGGTCAGCATTAATTTCTCATCTCTAATTCTCATTGAGAAAGTGGTAGTGAGTTACCAAATTATTTAAAAAGTACTAAGTTAATGTATCACTTACAGAGTCAATTTAATCTTTCAAGACATTCCTAGTAATTTGCTGAGGAAACATTCTAATCAGAGAATGATAGGGGTCTGTCTTGGTTATTGTCAATAAACTATGTGTAAAGTATCAGAGTGCTGTTATGGGTCATGTGAGATTGTGGTAATACTGTCACAAAATGTTTGCCACAGCAAATAGACAAAGTACCCCTTGATATTTTATTTGCTGCTACTACGTATTAGAGCATTCCAATTCCTGATAATTCTTTTTAACCTCCTCATTTCCCATTTAGATCTTTATCAAATTATTTTGAACTTATGATTTCTGGTTAATGACCTACTCAGCAGATGGAATAGTGTTTCTCTTTACAGTCTATCAAAACCTGTCAACATCTTGGTAACCTTGGCAACATCTTGATCTAAACGTTAGGTTATCTTTTAATTACCTTTGTCCCAAAGCCTGCAACATTCATAACTTTACAGCTTTTACTTGTAACTGAAATCCCTTATTCTTGGCAATGTATTGATAATACTCCTCTATACCTTTTCTAAGGCTTTCACATCTTTCCTGAAGTGTGATACCCAGAATTATCTACAATATCCCAGCTGAGGTTCAAACAATGATTAAGAAAATTTTAGCATAAATCCAAATAACTCATATGCTTTTATTAACCACTTTCTGAACCTGCAGCCAGTTTTAAGGATTGGCATTTACACCAGAATTGTTCTGCTCATCTATACTTCAACATTATGTCATTTACAGTCTATTGCCTTTCCATATTAGTCATCCTAAAATATACCACTTCATACTTCTCCACATTGAATTCTGTCTACCATTGTTCTGTTGATTTAACTCTCATTGCCTGTCTTTCTGAGGTTTATGACTATCCTTATCACTAACTACCACATTGCCAAGTAATGCAAAACTTTAATGCTGCTCCCTAAAGTTGAGTCTAGGTTCTTTATAAAAATTGAAACGAGTAATGGATCCAACACAGATCTTTGGGAAACAGCACTGTAAACCTTCTCGCAGTTTGATAAACATTGATCCATAATCACCTTCTGTTCCTTGTTGCTGAGTGAATTCCATACCCTTACTGCCACTTCAACCTTAAATTCCTATGCTGCCATCATTTTTAGTTGGCCTCGTGGATTCTGGATACAGTCTAAACATATTATTATGAGAGAAAAGGAAAGGCAACCAAGGAAAGTCTTGCTGGATGATAAAGGAGTTAAAGAGGGGTGAATGACAGATGTCAACTTGCTAATATGAGAAAGAATCAGGGTGAACATAAAAAGAGTAGAAAAGTGTGAAAAGAAAGTCATGGAGGCCTTATGAGAATAAATTTACAGCTAATATAAACCCAAATTCCACGTTCTTTGACAGGAAAATTAACAGTAAAAGGCTTGTCAGAGAAGATGTTGGTTGAGATGTAATGGAACTACTTCCCCCCATTTGCCACCACAGAGTGCCAAATGGGCTTGTTTAATTATGGGAGAAGTTGTACATCCTATTTTCATTGTTGACAAAGATGATCTCTCATTAAATCAGTGGTGGAAATGGACCAGTGTGGGAAATTAAGCTTGTCATTGAACAAACCAAAATTTCTATTATCCCTGAGCCCACTGGGATTTAGTGGTGGCTCAGGGATCTTCTCAAATTCATTAAAGTTTCCCATCCATCCTGAATGTAGCCTATAAACCACACAACCCCAGCCCCGCCACAACCCTGCATTGAGTTTGCCATTGCTGTCTTGATGAGCAGTGTGGGATTTCCTCTTTCAAAGGTACAGTGCTTGATCAAGTGTCCTGCTATCAGAAATGGGTGCCTATTGAGAACCACCCTCATCCTTACATCTGAACCTGCCTGCTTCTACCTGACTGATAAAGCCCTCCTTGTGACCCCGACTGTGATTGCAGTCAACTGTCTCCAAGCCTAAGATTAGAAACAGATAAAATAATGTAAAGTATGTGATAATACTGAGAGTTGATAAATCTGGTATATGCAAGATGCAGCTTACGTTGACGAGGGAACAAAGTGTAGTTCCCATCCTCCTTTTACAGGGGGGGGCCGCCAAAGGACTGAAAGATTGAAAATGTGTCATCCTTATTCAATAACTTGTTAAAGATAAACTGTAGGTAGTCGTCGGTGATGAAGCTTTTAGAAAAAATAGTCCAGGAGAAAATTAACAGCCATTGAACAAGTGTAGACTAATGATGGAGAAACAGCATGGAGTGAAAATCATATTTGATGAATTTGATACAGTATTTTGATATGAGAGAGTAGATGATGGTAAGGGTACATTGACTTTCTATAGTACCACATTTTATGTTTCTTCACAAAATGTAAAGCCATGAGATAAAAAAGGGCAACACGGCATGGATATAAAACTGACTGAGCATAGAAAGCAGAAAGCTGTTTTTGAAACTAGACAGTTGGAATACAGTGGAGTTTCCCCAAGGTTTAGTACTTGGATCACAGCTGTGTTTAATATATATAAATGTCTAAGTCTTGGACCGGTTGGGTGCAATTTCAAAATTTTCAAATTTCTGTCTCAAAATTTTGAAGTGTGGTAAACGGTTAGGAAGTTAGTGATAAACGTCAAGGGGCATTAGCAGACTGGTGGAATTGATAGCAAAATGGTGAGTGGAATTTAACATAGAAAGATGTGATGTGGTATATTTTGGTCAGAAGAATAGGAGATGTGATCCACACAAAATTAAATAATTTTAAAGGTGGAGCGTGAACATTAAAATCTACA